ACGCGGCGTGCGGCGGTCCTGTTCGAGGTATCGAAGCGGTCTTTCGAGATGCGAGGTGCCGATTGGCTCGGCCTGCTAATCCGACAGCTAACGGCCCGGGCTGCAATTAGCCGCCTGCCGATGGACGCCCGTGTCTGAGACTCGTCCACCAGCCAACAGGTGTAGTCCGTGCAGGCCACGCCCAATCGTGAAAGATTGGGTGCGGCCGACGGCTTACTTGTAGTGTAGTGAGCCCGGCCGATGATTGATAAATGAAACAGTGGCGCCGCGCCGGTCGATTCGATTCGATTGGCCGCGGCGTCGCGGCTCACGCAACGTTTGTTTGAATGCGACGGCGAGAAGCGCGGCGCGGCGAAGTCCGAGGGGAGTACACAGTGGGCTAGAAGACCGGTGGAGGCGGCCAAAGGTCTCGACGCGTTTTGAGCTCCAGAGTCGCTAAATGGCACTCGAACCGAACGTGTGACCCCACCAATTGATTCCTCTCCGAACGAGGAATCCATTGGTGGGGTCACACGTTCGATTCGAGTCCAATTTAGCGACTCTGGAGCTCAAAACGCGTCCGGGACTTTGACCGCCTCCGCCGGTCTTCTGGTCCACTGCGGAGTGTTCGCTTCTCGCGAGACAGAGACAACTCTCTCGGGCTGCTTACACTGTGCGAGAGAGAGAGAGAGAGAGAGAGAGAGAGAGATGGGCCGGGGGTTTGTTTTGAACTTTGTCGTCGCTGCGCGCGGTGGCCATGCGGTGGCGCGTCGCCGTGTCGCTGTGTGACGACACGCGTCACGTTGCGTCGTCTGCTTTGGCTGCTGCTTCGGCTGCTGCTCGGACTGTACGGGGCGGCCGATAAGGCGATAGCATGGAGCGTGTGTGGACGTCTGCTGGCTTGGGCGGCCAGCCACCGGCTAGTGTGCGCGCGAACTCCGTTACCGTCACGGCGACGACCGCGGCCGAGTGACGGCGGCACGCGTCCTTGTGTGTGTGAGTGTGTGTGTGTGTGTGTGAGTGCGCGCGTCCTTTCGATTGTGTGACTCACTCTGATTGTGGTGACCACGTGACGCGGCGAGGAAACCCAAGGATAGCGGCAAAGGCCTCGCCTCTCTCTTTCTCTCTCACACTCACTCTCCTCCCCGCACTCCGCCGACTTAACGCGTAACTGGACCCTGGCGAAAAAAAAAACAATGTCGTAAGGATCACGTTAGAAATTATAAATGCAATGTCGAATTTTTCTGAGCGCTCTAACGGTGCAGGCGCTTTTCCGCTGCGAAGGGGTTCTCGTTGTTGGCGACCCGACTCGCGGCGAGGAATACTTTTGCACGCGTGTGTACTCCACCGTGTGCCTCGCGGTGTCGCTTGCCCGCGTATCCTGCCGCGACACTGTATCTCTCCGGACTGTGGAGAAGTATTTTTAGCGCGCCGGGCGTGCCCTTTCGCCCCGTAGGCCCCTGGGCCCCTGGCCCTTATCATCAAGCAGGTGGGAAGGCTGGAGACTTGCGGTGTGCGGGTGCAAAGCGTGGGACACCGAGTGTTTATCGGTGTTTATAGATCGAGGTTTTGCGAGGGTTTCTTGCTAATCTGGTGCTCCTGCGTCCCGTTAGAGTGCCCTAGAGGTCTGTAACTGGTAAGCTCGCGCTGACGGGGCCCGCCAGTCAGTCGGGAGCGGCGGGCCGTGAGCGAGTGTACGGACGGAGCGTTGGTTTTGAACCGTTGACAGTGGCATCAACACACACGTGTTCCCGGTATGCGGTCCCCCCGGGGGGTCTCGCCCGCCCTGGCCCCGCCCTGGCGAGCGGCCAGGCGGCAGAGTTCGGCTAGACGGGGCGTCCCGAGCGGCCCTACAGTGTGCACCACGTAATAACCCCCTCGGGCAGATCGGAGTGAATCCCCAGGGATCCTTTTAAGCAGGACCACCTAGGTCACCTTGCTTTGCGTCTCGCCGTGACAGTTTTCTTCTCAGGGCAGTTCATGGCGGAGCAGGCTGAGGCCGAGCGGAGCGTGTCTCAATCAAAGAAAGCGACGTCCAAACAACAAATATCGACAACTTTCTCTCGCCGTTTTCTGGGAAACGTCGCTGGGGCCGGGGGGATAACGCCGGGGCTGTTTCAATCAAACGAAGCACACACCCGTCCCACTCCGCTCCCCTCCTCGGTTGCCCTCGCTCCGCGCTCCGCGCGCGAGCGGTCCCCCGCCGCGTTGCTCTCGCAAAGTTTGACTTGGTGCCACGTTTCTTCGAGTGGACGACATTAATGCGTTTCCGCGCGCCACCGTGTCGCGGTGGGAACGTGACGGTGTGTCAGCCCTCTCGGCGTTTGGAGGATTTTCCGCCTGGGTGGCCGATGAGTCTGCGGTAGCTTTCCCGACGCACTTTATCTGCATGGCCAAGGCCTTGGCGGCACCGCCGCTGGCACGGCCCTGTGGACTGGAGTGTCGGAGTTTTAAGACGCTGCAGTCGGTTGGGTTGCCTACCCTGCGCGCTGCGGGCGGCGCGGCGCGGCCGGGCCTCCACTGCCAGGACTAGGACTGCATGGAGGGCGGCCGGGCCTCCGCTGCAAGGACTAGGTCTGCATGGAGGAGGCGCGGATCGGTGACTGGCGACTGTCATGTCGCATGATGCCCTGGCCGACGGCCAGCCGACGACCAGCCGACGAGCTCGCGGCGGTTTTGTTCGCGCCGATGGCGGTCGGTCGGTGACTCTCGCCGCGGGTGTTCATCATCGCGGTCCTCGATGGCTGCCGGCGACTTCCCTGGCCCACTTCCTGCCGTCGTCTGGCGACACGCCGCGCCCCGCCAACTTTCCCACCCAGCGGAAGGCCACCACCAGGGAGGAGGGGAGCGATTTGATTTAAATTTAGTCGCACCCTGGCCATGCCCTGGCCATGCCCTGGCCGTGCCTAGGCAGCCCTAGCCCTGCCCTTCGGGCCCTTGGTCCGCGCCGCCCTTCGCCCTGCCCTTCGACGCCCTGGCCGCGGTGTCCCTGAGAGGACCCAAGGGACCCGAAAGGCCCCGAAAGGCCCCGAAAGGGCGCGGCGGGCTGGAGGTGGTCGCTGCGGCGCCGCGTTGCGGTAGGTCCGGTCGGTCGGCCAGCGGCCCTGCAAGGGAAGATGGAGTCTTTCGAAAGGGTGGTTGAGCTCGTGGGGCGCAGTGCAGTGGGTCCATGGAAGGCCCCGGACAGCCGGCGGGAGCAGTCCGCCCCCTTGGCATGGTGGCTGACGGCTAGCCTGCCGCTCGGCTCGGCTCGGCCGGCAGTGCAACGCCCCGGCCGTACCCTGCTCGGCTCGTCTCGTCGGGGTGCGCTGGCTGGTGTTCGCGTGGGGCCGTGGGGCCGTGGGGCCGTGGGGCCTGGCCGCCCTGGCCGCCGCCACGTCTTCAGTAGTGCCTCTAGAGCCGCGGTGTCGGCGTGTCCGCGTCGCGCGAGTCGCGAGAGTCCACGAGCACGCGCGCGCCGAGCGTGGTGGAGCGTGGCCCCGGGGGACGCCAAGGACCCGCAGCACGGCGTCGGCGCGAGGACGCCGTCAACGTCAACCAGGGCCTCGACGACGCGGTGCCGCTCTCTGAGGTGTCAGTGCAGCGTACGCGTGCAGGGTGTTGTCGGCGTGACCTTGACCCGGCACGCGCGACCTTGACCCCCGGCCGTCGTCCTTCCGCGCCACTGTCAAAATGGGTCGGAAAGCGCGGCTGCGGGTCTGGGCGGGCTGCGCGGGCTGCCCCCCACCTGTAGCGCCGGGCCGCCAGGCCGACTCTAGCCCGCCCCGCCGCCTCTAGGCCCGCCTGCCAAGTCGCATGCCTCCTTTGTCAGAATGCCGAGGGTGTCTGTCTCTGTCGCACTCGCGGCGCGCCCCGCGGCGGTGCGAGAGAGACGGAGGGCGGGGGTGCGGGTCCCTGTGAGTCGCGCGGGGCGTCGCGGGGCGTCGCGGGGCGTCGCGGGGCGTCGCGGGGCGTCGCGGGGCGTCGCGCGGGCGTCGCGGGGCGTCGCGGGGCGTCGCGGGGCGTCGCGGGGCGTCGCGGGGCGTCGCGGGGCGTCGCGGGCGTCGCGGGGCGTCGCGCAGCTGTGTACCGAGCCGTCGGCCCGTCGTGGCCCTCGCCCTCGCGTTGGCTTCAACGCGCCACAAAACGCCCCGGCCCGCCGCGCCACTGTAGTGTACATTTGTCGCGCACGGCCAGCCGGCCAGCCTCCCAGCATCGCTAATGGTGTGCACGGCGGAATCCTGCACACTGCTTTTGTACACGGCCACGCGGGGGGATGGTGGCCTCTGTCTGCAGCTCGGGGGCCATTTGCACTTGCATTTGATTTCGAGTCGCGTCCCATTAGGACCCGCGGCCAGGCGGCCGTGTCGCGTCACCTCGCTTCCGCTCCGCTGTCCTGACCTGCACTCCTTTTCGGAAACACGTGTTCGCGTCGCAGTATTTTTCCGAGTGTGGTGCCGCTTGCGACCGGCGTGGACGTGTCTTTGTTCGTGACGCCTCTCGGCGCGCTGAGTGAGTAATGGATGCAAACTCTGCCACTGGACTGGACGGTGACAAGTGAAACTGCCCGCTCTCTTTCTGGGGGCGTCCGCCGTGCGAACCGTGAACCGTGACCGAAAAAAGGAAAAGGTGCCTCCCCATACAGATTGGACAGTGTACCATTGCGCCTCGCGCGCGGCGCACTCTTCGCGGTCTTGGCAAAAGGTTTAAAAGCGTTTGTGAAAAGCGCGGCTGCCCGAAGGTTTTTGCACGTGATTGTGTGTGTGTGTGTGTGTGTGTGTGTTGGCAGTGGCTGCCCGCGGGAAAAAGCGTCTTTCCGGTCCGTTTGTGACCGCCGCCAATGCCGCCAACATTTGAGCGACGACAGGAAGGGCGGTGCGCAGGGCTGCCAGTGGCGTGACGCCGCGTGACGCGCGGAATGAATGGAATGTGTGCGTTGGCAGCAATGGGGCGCCACCGGTTCATGATAACGCCCCGCAGTGGGCCAGAAGGCCGGTGGTGGTGGCCAAGTCTTTCAACTGTTTGGTGTTATGATCTTGCAGACTGACGCGGTAATCCGAAATCGATCTCGCAATCGATGGCTCGCGCCGCTTTGGTCTCTGAGGTGAACGGAGTCGCGTCCCCGCGCAAGGTGCAGTCCTGTTGATGTTGTTTTTGTTGGATACTGGTGTGGTAGTTTTGTTACGTAGTTTTTTGGACGGTTTGGTTGGTTGGTTGTACTGCAGCACTACAGTAATTTCGTATTTTAATGATCATTTTTGCAAACGTAAAGGTGTCGAATAATTGTTGTCTGTGTGACTAAACTGGCTTGTATCTCGGTGCATCTAGTTTGGCGCCACTTTGGCGTGCGAGAAATACTTTGTTGTTGCTTTTGCGGTGGTGTGACGTATTTACGGTGACGCCACCTCGCGGAGGTGGCAGACTGATTCGTCGCTCTGTCTCTCTCGCACTCGTGGGGCGTCCCGTGGAGGTGCGAGAGAGACAGACGCTGGGGCAGCGTTGCTGGCCGAGGCGCGTGTCGCGTATCAAGGGTGTCTCGCGTGCGATGCATCACCGCCTTCGAACGGCCATTGGCAGCCATGCGGCGATCGGGTATTTAGTTTGCCTGTACGTGTGTGTGTGTGTGCAGTGATTCACTGCGGCCGTGTAGTACTTTGTGCCTTGCTGGCTCGCTGGCGCGATGAAAATAAATATGAATGGGTCGGTGGACCGACGGCACACCGAAGGCGGGACTGCGACAAAGCCAACAAAGCCGCCGCACCTGTCGCTGCCGCGCTCGTTCGAGGTCTCGTTCGTGGTCTCGTTCGAGGTATCGAAGTGGAGTCCGTGCGCGTGCATACGGCTTTTAATCTGCTCGGAAAGCAAAAAGGGAGGAGCGTGGCTTTAGCACGCGCGCACTTCGCCGCCGCCGGGCTGCGCCGCTCTCTCTCGCACACCCAGCGGACCGCGGGGCGCCCCTAGAGTGCGAGAGAGACAGCGGGTTGCCTGGCAACGCGGCGCTGGGTCGCGGCCCGGCCGGGGCGGCTCGGCTCCGCTCGGCTCTCGGCTCCCCTGACGTCGTCTCTTGTTTGCAGCGCGGCCAGGGCCGCCAGGGCGGCGCGCTTGCGGACGAGGGGGTGCTCGTTTTTCGTTCAATTCGTTTTAGAAAGAGTGTTTCTGCTTTCGCGTGTGGTTCCGGTGCGGAGTGTTCGGGAGGCTTTGTCCGACACTCGCATTGTGAGCTGCACAGCGCCCCGCCCCGGATGCAGTGCTGGATGCTTACAGTGCAGCGGACTGAAATTGTTGGAGGGGGGGTGAGGGGAAACCGTGGAAACCTCGTGATAACGAGTTTCGCTCCGAAATGGGTCGGCCCACTTTCCGCTTTCGATTTGCGAGGGAGGAAAAATCGCAGAACGTCTCTTTTATTTTTATTGAATGAACGAGAGGCGCAGTGTGCTCGCTGCGTGTAAATAAAGTTGATCAGAAGGGTCCCTGCCTCGACTTGCGTCCATATCTCGCTGTTTCCCCGACACTGTGAGAGAGAAAGAGAGAGAGCGCGCTTGGAGACTGAGTCCCGTAACTCTGAGTCAAGGGCGCGCGCTAGAGTGAGACGGAGAGAGTCCGATGCCCGGACGCGCGGCTGGGAGCTGGAAGCGTTCTCCAGGATGGCCGGCAGCCTCTTCTCCAGCGGCAGCAGCAGCAGCAGCAGCGGCAGCGTCCGCTCCGCCCTGGTGCTGGGCCGCGCGCCGCCCCGGAACTACGGCTCCCTGCTCACCTACCAGTTCCTCAAGAGCGCCCGCACGCTGGGGATCCACCAGGTAACGACGGAACCAATTGGGAGGGGCCGCCGCCTCGCGTTTCCCAGTGAAGTTGCCTGTTTTCCCGCACGCCGAAAAGTCTGGCAGCACGCCACGCAAACCCCTGGAGAAGGCTACTGCTGTTTCTGGGCGGGCCGGCGGGCGCCCCCTAGGGACCGAGGCACGTGGAGCGTGGAGCGCCGCCGTTGGCTGGTTTGGCAGTGACTCCGGCTCGGAATCCATTTCCGGGCCAAGTAAGCCGTAATGGAGGTCTGGTAGTGCGTCCGCGGCCTGACTGCCAACGAGGCCGATCGGCTCGCTGTACACGCCAAGGTCCTGGAGGGCCCGCCAGCGAGGTCGCCGTCAAGGTGGTCCTGGAGGTCGACGTCGAGGTGGTCCTGGAGGTCGCCGTCAAGGTGGTCCTGGAGGTCGACGTCAAGGTGGTGGTGCTGGAGGTCGACGTCAAGGTGGTGGTGCTGGAGGTCGCCGTCGAGGTGGTCCTGGAGGTCGCCGTCAAGGTGGTCCTGGAGGTCGACGTCAAGGTGGTGGTGCGGGAGGTCGCCGTCAAGGTGGTCCTGGAGGTCGACGTCAAGGTGGTGGTGCGGGAGGTCGCCGTCAAGGTGGTGGTGCTGGAGGTCGCCGTTAAGGTGGTCCTGGAGGTCGACGTCAAGGTGGTCCTGAAGGTCGCCGTCAAGGTGTTTAGTTCCAAGAGGTCCCCGTACTGGAGTCCCTCCCAGACGACGTCGCGGTGCCTGGCGGCCGCTCGGCTGCCTCCAGGTCGCTCCAGGCGGTGCCTCGCCCCGTGCGCGACGGCGGCACCACGGCGGCACCACGGCGGCCCTTCCTGACATCGATTGGCGCGACGTGTGCCGGCACCGTGTTTGCGGAAGGCAGCGCGACCCCGCGGCCCGCGGCAGTCAGCAGCCAATCCCAGTGCCGGAGCGGCTGGAGGGACTCGACGAGCTCGCATGGAAACCTACTCGGCCCTGGCGGCCCTGGGCAGTGAGCGAGTGCGGAGCCGCGGGACGAGCGTGTCCGACAGGCCCCAGGGAGATGTGGAAGGTACAGTGTGCTAGCACAGCGAGGCGCGCGGTTGATCGTTGGAACCAAGTCGTCGGTGCGTGTGTCCAAGCGGCGGCTGCGGTCGGCGTGCGTGTTGGCGTCCATTGTTGGCGTGCCGCGCTGCGCCCAGTGTGCGCCCAGTGTGCGCCCAGTGTGCGCCCCTGCCGCCCTGCCTTCCCCAAGGCCGGCCCGCTGCCCCATTAGGAACCCTATCCCTGTTTGCTCGAGGCCCAGTGGCCTAGCTGCCTCCGTTGGCACCCCTAGGCCCCCGGCTGGCCCCGCTGGTACAGTGTACAGTCCGCCTCAGCGTGCGCGACAGTCGCCGACAAAAGGTTAAACAATGCGCCGGCACGTTTTGAGTGGCAGACTGAGCCCCGCTGCCCAGGCCCCTCTGCCCAGGCCGCGCAGCCCGCCCTCGCACTCTGCAAATACCGGCGTCAGTCAGTGGAGCGCTCCGTCGGGTCGGCTAGTCCGGCCACTAGTCGCACGACAATGGAAACGGTGCCGGAACAAGCCAAAATTCCCACGATGCGCCGGTGTCGAAAGGGTTGCCAACCTCAGCCTGCCTACTGGGCAAAGACTATGCTTTGCTCTCGAGAAGAGAGGCAGTGTCCCGGTTTGCGAGTGGAGGTTGGCAGCCCTTTGAACTTTGGTGCATCGTGGGAATGTTGAAAGTTTGGCCGGCTTGTGTGGCAGCACTGCGCCGTGCGTGCCGCCGGCCGCCGCGCCGCGGTGTGCGTTGGGTTGCCTGCCCTGACGGCGCTGCCTGTTCGTTCTCCGAGCTCCGCTTCCACACTCTGACGAAAACTGTTACGGTAGGTTAGGTTCTCCGCGTTCTGCCCGGGCGCCCTGCTCGTCACTATACTTGTCTCTGTTTGTCTTGCCGGCCTTTTGTTCGCGCGAGAGTGAGTGAGACGACGCGCTGGTTTTATTTACCGTGCCGGAAAGCGGACGAGAAGACAGACAAGAAGGCGCGCGGAGGGTAGAAAATGTGTCCGATGCGAGTTTTGCGCGGCGTCGCTGCGGGGCGCGTCTGCCGCGAGTGGAGGCTAAACCTGGCAAGAGCTGCTAAGACTCGACTTGGTCGCGGCGTTATCTTATCTGGCGTCAGTCATTTACGGAATCTCGCGAATCAGTGTCGCGGTCTTCGCCGCGCGAATCTGCCTTCGTCTGTCCGCGTTTGGCGCGTACCGACGCGTTTTTCGAAGCCGAGTCGGCGTAAACAGGCCTCGAACCGAACGAGTGACCCCACCAATGGATTCCTCGTTCGGAGAGCAATCCATTGGTGGGGTCACACGTTCGGCTCGAGTCCCATTTAGCGACTCTGGAGCTCAAAACGCGTCCGGGATTCGGACCGCCTCCGCCGGTGTTCTGGCCCACTGGGCGGTGCCGCGGCGAGGTTCGGTTCATCCTCTGTGGATTAGCCGCGTAGCCTGGCCGGGATTACAGCCTTGCAGCGCGAATCCCGCCGCGGGCATCGCGGTGTTCGCCTCGCTCGGGATTACGGGACGGGCGTGGCGTGGCGTGGCGGCGCGGCGCGGCTGTCTCGGTGCGCGAGCCGCGAGCCTCGCCGCGGAGTGTTCGGCTGTAATTTTCCTCTCCGTGTCCGAAAGGCGCGGAGGAGGATTCGCTCTCCAACTGCAGCACTCCTGACTTTACTGAGCCGCTTGACCCTTAGTTTTTCAGGCTCGTTTCGCAAAAGTTGTCAACCTCCACTAGCTTCGAAAATTTCTGCATCTGTGCCTCCAAATTCTGCTCACGAGAATGACCACGCGATAGTGTGTATCTCTCTTCGGGCTCCGCTCCCCGTATCTGCAAGCGTTTCGCGCCGTTTTTGGCGAGTATTTGAACTCGGTGATGCCTCACTAGGTGGACTCGCTGACCGACTGACCGACTAGCCGCTGGCTATTGTGACTCCGTACAGACCACGGACGGGCCCATCTGCTTTCCCCCCCCCCCCCCCCCCCCAGGCCGGGCTCAGGTTGGCGCCACTGAGTCTCTGCCGACGCGCGGACCAGCGCCGGACTGGACGGGGCCGCCACACCACTGTAGCATTAGAGTCTGACCGCTGGAGTACACTGCACAGTGGGTCAGAAGACTGTTGGAGGCGGCCAAAACCCCGGACGCGTTTTGAGCTCCAGAGTCGCCAAATGGGACTCGAACGGAACGTGTGACCCCACCAATGGATTGCTCTCAGAACGAGGAATCCATTGGTGGGGTCACACGTTCGGTTCGAGTCCCATTTAGCGACTCTGGAGCTCTAAACGTGTCTGGAGTTTTGGCCGCCTCCACC